CTAGTAATCTTATTTCGTATCTTGCTCCGAACAGAGACTTACAAGACTCCAACACAATATACCCTAATGAATGCGAACGCGTTTCGAATTTATGATAGATCACAACAGCCTGCAACTTCGATCGCTACTCTCCCATTATTATAGAAATCTTCTACTTGTCAAGAATTTTAATTATAAAATTGGCTGAATTACTAATTCTTTGTTGTTAATACTTCTCACACACGCATACATCCATTTTTGCTAAGGTATGCCAAAATGTTCAGAAACCTTTGAAACGTAAAGATATGCAAAAATTTTCATTTTCGATTTTTTTGCGATTACTATAACTTAGCCTACGGGAAGTTAAAAAATGCCATTTGGCGGACAAAGATGATTGTTAGACATATGCACATCAAATTATCACATATTTTAATAATAAGAACAAATTTTGTTTTCATTTCTATGGGTTCTGTACCAATGTTCGATATTTTGTTCTACGCTGCTAACGTATTGCGATTGCTTTGAAAAAAAAATTCATAATTTCCAAAATATTTCAAAGTATAAAAAAATCAAATTTTTCAAAAAGGTCAATTTTCAAAAATTTTAAAAGTCTCAACAATCTATTTTTTTCAAAGTTCTAAAAAATTGAATCTTTTTCAAATTCTTTAAATTTAAAAATTGAATTTTTTGGTTTTTGGTACGGGAATTTCCAGGATTTTGCCTTAAAGCACGATGCCCTGCACCACTAGTTTTCTTTAAAATCTGGGGCAGAAACATTGCTGGGTGAGCGTTTAATTTTAATAAATCAAATATGGTTTTTTAATATCTTTAAAAATAAAAGTTATTTATTACAAATAGTATTTAACGAGTTAATAAAAATCAGTTTTTTAATAAGAAAAACTGATAAAAAATGTTTTTCCAGTAAGATTTCTCTTTTTTTGTCCTATTTGGTTTCGAGCATTACATACAATTTTATTCCTGTTATGTAACTTATTGTATCTAATAATAAATAAGAACTTCTTAAAAAATTTAGTAAAATCTGGGACGAAAACCTTCAGCCTTTCATATTTAATTTTTTTAATTAATATATTGCTTTTATTGTGTTTATTTCAAGTTGCGTATTTTAATATGCACAAAAAAATTTTATTCAAATTTGATAATTTGATAATTCTAGTTCAAATATATTCAAAATGAATTGAAAATAAAAACTTTCTCAAAAATTCTGGAAAATCCGGGACGAAAAATCTAAAATGGTTCATATTTAAATTTTGTAATTAATTTTGATTTTATTATGTCTATTTGAAATTGCGTATTTTGATATGCACCTTTTTTTATTCAGATTTTGTAATAGTAATTCTAGTTCAAATATATTTAAAATTAATTGAAAATAAAAACTTTCTCAAATTCTGGGAAATTCAGGTCGAAAACCCTAAAATCGGGACAAATATCGCTCCTGGAAAAATCCGGGGCACAAAGTGGAAATCCTGGATTATCCCAGCTAATCTGGGACATATGATCACCTTAAATCTTAATATTCTAGCTTTAATCTTTAAACCGCCGTTTTTATTTTCATCAATCTTATTTTACGTAATTCGTTTTTATTATTATCACTCTTAAAAAAACTAGTCGTAATTTCAAAATGGTGAAAATTTTATAAAGACTAAGGAAAGATTCTATAAAGACAAGTTTGATCTATTTTCAAGTGAAAAATCTTGGCTGCCAAAGTAATATTTTAGAGTAGAAAATTATTTGACTTTAAAGATTTTCAATTAGATGAATTACTTTTTGCTCACTAATTTCACTCATTGATTATTGTAAATGAAATAGCATAATAGATGGATTGATGTATGATTTGTGGATAGATTCGATTGATCTTATAGATTGTCAATAGTTTTATGTATCAAAAATGATTTTTAATCTTGGGTCATCTTTAATACTGTAGCTGTAGGTTATTTTACAATCTGCCTTTTCATATTTAATTTTATAGTAGGTGAAAGAAATTTTTTCAAGATGGTAGGTTGTTTCGTTCCAAAGAGTTGTTGAATCAATGTAGTTTAATACAAAATTCCTGTTAAATTCATTCACGATTCAAAGTTTGAATTTCAAATCTATTGTGCTTCAGTATGTCCTGTTTTAAAAACATCCACCTAAACTATCTTCGATCTGGGTCAGGAACATAGACCTAGAGAATGCACTAAGCAATTTCTGAGAGAAGCCATAGGGAAAGGAATTCCAGTCTCTTTTCTGAAGTTCTAAAGTGCTTCACTCTGATCAGACACTTGGTCTTACGATTAGTTTTTCTCCCTACCTTTCCTGTGTTATGTTATTATACAATACCTAATCCATTCTGGAATTCTAGGTCCATATTGAAATGACACATCTTCATTTTTAACTTTCCGTAGTTATATATCTTTAACGTTTCAAAGATTTCTGAACATTTTGGCATACTCTAGAAAAAAATGATGTTTGTGTGTGTGCGGATACAAATTTTCGTCGACGATTTCGGGAACACAGATCAACCGATTTGAATAATTCAAAAAACAAAAATATATAAAATCGAGTTCTTACAAAAATTTGAGAATATTTCGAAATTTTAGAAAAAATTGAATATTTTCAAGAATTTTCAAATTCTCAAAAAATTTAAAAAAATCGATTTTTTTCAAAATTTCTAAATTATCAAAAAAAAATCAAATTTGAAAAAAAATTGGACAAATTTTTTGTAAACACACACATAAGTTGTTTGTAGGATACGCTCGTCGCCCAATTTAATAAGCACTTTTACAATATGTATTTATAATAAACTAGCAAACCCGACGAACTCCGTTTCGCCACCAGATGGTTTCGTGAGAAAGATGAAGAAAATATTTTTTGTACAACAGTAATGAATTTTTTTCGATTACAAAAATGAATTTGAACTTCTCTAAATAAATAAAGTGAATCCGCAAAATCAGTTTCATTGAAGTGCTCTTTGGTAAACCACACTTGGTCTGACGTTAACACAAACAAAGCGGATGGTTTTCCAACTCGTGAACAGGCAACGTATAACAGCCCATGTGAAAAACAATGATTTTATAAATAATCTATTTGAAACTTATCCCGCAAACACTAAGCTATTGGCCTTCCGACTTGTTAATTGTCATTGCGAACGCAAGGCGAACTGGAAATTGCAATCGTTTGAAGTCAAACGGAAGACCAGTCAGAATCATTGGTATGTCACCAAATCGCCAGCAATTTTTGATTGAATGGTGAAATTCAGTGCGTGTACATCATATTTCTTGGCGGCAAGAAGCGCTCGTTGACTTAACCAAGCATAATTCTGATAATTCTCACTAATGTCATTACTCG